ACCAAGCCAGCCAAAAGAAGCTGTGAGAATATAAATGTTCCAGCAAATCAAAAGAGAATACCTAGGGGAAACATGTCCCCATATGCTCTTACCAAAAATGAAATGGCTAAAAGATTTTTTGCTAAAGCCCCTTCCCACATCAATTCCCTGGTGTGGGAATGGGGAATATCCCCTGTCTACCCTGAGGTGCTCTGACTCCCAGGAAAACACTGACTTTGACCGTCATTCATAGGAAAAACTTCCAAAGCCTCAACAAAAGTGTGAAATAGATTGCAGAGATTGTAGATAGTAGTGTAGTATGTCACATGAGTGAAAAATTTAAGTTTTAAGATTTTTAGTATGTTACAGATGAGTTCAAGATTGAAGATATAAAGTGTTGTCTCAAATTCCTTTCTTCTCTCTTCTTCCTCTTTCTTCTTGGGTTTAGGTGGTATCTTGTAATTAAGTAGAAAAGTCTATATTACAAGTCTTTAAGAGTCAGTTATTGAGTTAGAAAAGAAAATAATTTAAGTGTCACTTCTTAATTAAGTAGTTTAGTTTTTGATTAAACTTAAAAAGACCTTGCAGCACGAGGTTGTTGGCCATTTTTGTACTGTTTTCACACATGCAAGGTCTGGGCGCAGACCATGTGCTAAAGTTTTGATAAGTTAACAATAAACAGAAACTGAAAACCAAAAATGTCCAATGCAACTCTCATTCCTAACACAGAACTGCTCCAAGAGAATCTCCCCTGCCAGGAGAGCCCCCAAAGAGTTGTCCAACTTAAGAGCCCACAAACTCACACCTAGACATTCAGGATGCCACATGATTTAAAACATACTCTTCAATATGAGAGGCTGAAGAAATGTTAAACTTTTCCTTTCAAATTTTGAAGTGAGTTCAGGTTCTAGGACTTACACTGTTATCGACAACAATAAATAATGCAAGTTTGATTCCTTATAAAAGGCCAAAAGCTTTATTTTCTAGCTCTTCACAACAATCTAGAATCCCTGCAATAACAATTCTGAATTTTTGACATAAGTATCATAATGAGTATCAATAACAAAAACATCAAGTCACAAAGCAAACAATTGCAGAATTAATGTACTCAAGTGGTCAGTATGAAGACTCAAAGAAAATTTCGTAACTCTGATAATAAATTCAGTGTCCTATATAAATGAACACTGTATTTGCAAACTGAATTATTGATGCTCTTGCATAACTGATGAATAAAGGAATACCTAGGTGATACACAGTGTCTGTCTCAAGCACACAGATTAAATCCAAGGCCTTTTTCCCCATAAAGTACTTTATATAATTTTTTTTTATACTTTCACCAAACAATACAAAGATATATTAACATGAGAAATTCCAAAGAAGATTAGTGTAAGAGTCAAAATTATTGCCAAAATACTTCCCTAAAATTAGACCAGACCAGAAGTTACTATTAGGAAATTATGAGGTAAAACTAGACAGTAAAAGAGAGTAGGTTATACTTAAGAGCAACAGAAAATACTACATCTGCAGAGTCTTAAACATATCACTTACTGCTTTGACTCATGGTGACAGACCTCCAGAGTTGGATCATTATAGATGAAAGCTGCTTCTAAATCATTGACTCTCACTCTGTAAATCCGGCACTGTTTACTGTTCAGCTTGATTCTGTTCAGGTTTGCAACTGTGGGAAATATTGTGAGTTCCACATAACCCTACGAAAACACAAATCAAAATCTTCTGTAAAATATTTAACAGTTTAAAAACTGGAGAGATATAAAAAATTATTACTAATACAACTTTTAAAAATCAAATCACTGATATAAAGATGGTATTTTCATATTTGAAAAGGAAAATTATTTGCCATTTAGATTTTCTGCATTTTCTTTCATGCCATTTAAAAGGTAAATTTTCGCAGCTGTAAATGAAACAGACAAAGCAAAAAATTTAACGTGACTGACAATTTTACTGGAAAAAATGTGCCTCTACTGAGTATATTTCAAGTTATTACCATCACTATGTCTTGGTACTTGAATTTGAGACAAGAATTCTTAAAACCTCAGCAGAATCCTTGAAACACGTAAGTAAATTGACCAAGGCTCTTGAAGATTTTAGGACTGAAATGATGAAACTTTCTTCAAAGCCCAAGTGAACTCCCATACAAGGGAGAAAACTCTGTATGCCTACCCTTAACATCAGCTAACACTGTGTGAGCATGAATTTTGAACTGCAAATTGCTCTGTCATATTTACAATGTAGCGGCCTTCATTTAGAAATATTTTTCTAGAAGTGCTCACAATTAGGAATTTTATCTCAAGCAATGACAGACTTATGAGAAGCATCATATTAGAAAATATAACCTATGAAGTAGCTGAACAGCATAATTAGCTTGTAAGTGCATTTTTTCCCTCTAAAAGCATGAAGAAAACCCAGACAATTTCTACTTCACACTTCATTAGGAAATACTTACGACAACAGACTTTCTCTGAAAATTTATGTTGTTGATACAAACTACCTGATGAGTTGTGCTGAAAGGAAAAAAAAAAAAGGTAAAAGGTAAGGTTTTGCATAAATGGCAGCATTTTAAATACTTTAACCCAGTTTAACAGACAGCCACACAGGATATATGTACATAAATACTGCAAATAAAATATATTTCTGTAAAAGTCATTAATGTTTGTCTCAATCTTTTATGTGGTCTAAACCAAATAATGAATAGAAGTTACCCACAATGTCAGGAAAGTCCCCCAAAAAATCAAACACAGTATCATGCCAGGATGAACATTACTGGTAATACAGGAAGATAACATAAATTTTGAACAATACTTATTTGCATATAAAGAATTACAAATGGCAGTGTCCAGGTCTAACACTGTAGTGATGAGCAGTATCAGTAATGGCATAAGCCATAACACTTGCAATCAGAGACCTGTGGGAAGTTTACCTGGAGAGCTGACACTCGTACGTAATTTATATAAGCAGGTATTACACATTACAAGATACAGTATGTGTTTTTACAATTAGCATGCCTAAGAACTTGTATTTAAAATAATGCAAATCCATTAATCAAGACAGGTATTTATATTAGTCAAATGCATTTGCTTAAATTTTGAGTGATGTATTGGAACTCCTGGTAAATAAAACTGATTTAAAAGGTAGGAGATAAAATAATTCCAACTTTTAAAAAAACCTGTAAGTTATTTCTATGTAATTTCCTGTAATAGGTGTCATTGTTACAGTAGTGCGTTTCATGACCCAAGACAAAACCTTAAAATAATTCAACTTCTATGGCATATGGCAGTTTATCTGCATATATCCTGTGTGTTAAGAAGTGACATTGCTTCAGGTGAGATAAAGTTTGATAAAAACTCTTAAAAGAGAATCTAAAAGTGGTTTCATACATTACTTACACAAATGTATTTCTAAGTAGAATCAGTCCTCTCATATACACTTAATGTAACAGATTTATAAAGGAATAAAACATGTAGAACAAGAAATCTATTAAAATGCACTGAAATATACCACCAACTACTTTGTAGCTCGATTACAACCCAAAGAGTGAATGTGTGAAAATGATAGTTTGCTTAAGAACATGGCTTGCTGAAAAGCAAGCATTTTTTTGTACATAAAAAGGCCCTTAAGTCAAAAGGGCTTTTTGACACAGCAGTATATATAGAACATCGTAGTACAGTCTTTAGTACTGACACTATGTGAACAAATGTCCAAAGCTTGAAGAGCATAATGTAAATATCTTCGTGAGACTGCATGGTTGACAGACTTGCTGCCCATGAGCAAGTCCATTTACATATTCAAACATCCATCTGCAACACAGGTTTTCTTAATGCAAGCTACACCACAAGCTGCAACCTTCTTAAATAAATCATTACTAATCGGCCTGTGGCCTGACTCAGTGTGCATTGGTTTCAAGTATAGCAATTAAAAAAAAAAATGGATACTTATAATTTATAGGGTCTTGGGCTTTCAAATCCTTTGTCTCCTTTCTTTCTATTCATCCTGAACCGCAGCACTAAACACACACTGCTGACCGTCAGACGGGCATCGACATCATCCTCACTCAGCGGGTCCCCCGGTTTTCCCCCGTGTCACGCCGTATTTGATCACTCATCTCCGCAGCGATGTGTGACCCCCAGCAGTCAGGAATCTGCAGTTCCAGTGAGCGCCATCGCTACAGCACCACCGACAAGCAGCGTTTGTACAACACCTTCAGGGGAAGCGCTCTCAGCTGCTCTGCCTGCGAGGGTCACGGAACCAGTCCAGAGGCGCTTCCTCGCCACGGGAACTACGAAGAACAACCGGCTCAGCGGGCAGCGCCGGCGGAATCAGGAGTGCCGCGGCCAGACGCCGGCAGGCACCGGTGTCCGCGCTCCTGGGAGCGCCGGCTGGGGCAGCGCCGTCCGCCGAGAGCCGGGCAAGGCGCAGAGGGTGGAGCGGCGGGCCCGGGGCAGGCTCGGCCCCGCGGGTCTCCCTCAGCAGCGAGCCCGCCGCGGCCCTCCCGCAGCCGCCGCCATCTTGGCGGTCACCTCCGACCCCGCGGTGAGAGGTCACGGCCCGACCGCCTCAGCGCTGTCACTTCAGCGGGAAAAGCCCCTGGAGTTTCGCTTCTTACAGACGGACAGCCCAGCAGCGGCGGCCGGAGAGAATTAAAAAAAAAAAAAACCAAAAAAAACACGAGAACAAAATAACCCTCCCGAATAAGCCAAAAGCCGAGAGGGGCCGCGCCGCGTCCCCGCGCGCAGGCGCCGGCGCTCGCGCAGGCGCGGGGCTGGGAGCGGGAAGGGCGGCGGGAGCAGCGCGCGGCACGGCGCGAGCCCGCCCGCCTGCCGCTCCTTCAGAACCAGGACTGGCACCAGTAACCTCAGATTCAGCTGGTTTAGGTTAACATAAATGCTGGCATCGAAAAAACTGATGGGAGTTTGAACGGTCATTGCATTTTGAGTATGTAACAAAACTAAGCAGGAGCACTGCACACATGGAGTAACACACGCATAATTAATTTAAACAAACTCTTTTCATTGATGTAATAAAGCTCTATTCATTAAAGACTTATTTGTTTTACAAAGAAACACCTATGTAATTACAAACTTGAAGCACAAATATAACAGTATCAATTGTGTTGTGTATTTCAACTAAGGGCCCTTCTGTGATGCAATGGAAGGAATTTCCAAGGCTTTTCCATTGATCTCTGGAGTGAACCTTGTGGTGCTATTGGGAGCTGTTGGAACCAGGGAGCAAACAAGTCAGTCCTTCCCAGCAGAGAGCCATTCTAGTCTCCACACAGCTGGTCAAACACTACACCCCTGCCGCACTGGGCAACAATAAGCAGAGCTCAGGAAGTAGCTTTTATTCAGCTTTTTATCACTACCAAATTCAAAGTATGCACACAGTGTGCATCTTCAGAGTTACACTTGATTTAGGAGGAGTTTCTCTACTCCCCCCACTCACTCTACAGCTGGAATGCTGGCAGTTCCAAGGTATTTCCTACGTCACATCTGAGCCTGATGGAAAAAATCCTTTTTGTATCAAATAACCAACAACAATTCAGTTTAAAATATGAATCTGAAAACTATCTGATATTAAACTTTGTTTTACTGACATGAAAACAATCCTTTTTAATGATTACAAAATTACCATCTCAGGCACACCACTTCATGGCAGTATCATAAAAACATCCTGTTTAATTTCTCTACATAGAGCAGTATTACCATTACAAAACTGGAAGGTTTCAAGGCACAATTTCTATGTGCTGTTATTTGTCATAACAAAGTTTAAAAAAAAAAATTGTACTACAAAGTTTTGTAGGTTCTTTAAAAAGCACAAGTAGTCTTCCGTGAAACATTAGTTTTACCTCAGCTACATTTTAATGACAGTTTACAGGCTATTTGTAACACCATTTCCAACTATTCTCTCTTATATTCACACTTCACTGCAATTTTTTTTTGTAATATATGTAAGGCCATTCTGCCAAGTATTAAAGTGTCAGGTGCTTGTGCTGATGGTGTTCATAGACATGACCTTAAAAAGAACCACTTTTCAAAATCAAGACTTGTGTTGTCTCAGTGGGGAATGATTTGTTCATGAGCTTGATCAGCTCTGTGCTATTCAAAATGTTAACACTGCATTGAAACTAATCTTTAAGAATGGCCACTAATGGGCAGAAAACTAAAATTTCCATTTTGCTATTCAATTCAATTGACTGAGTTATTATCAAGGAGGTTTTAAATTTTCATTTCAGACTTATGGATAAACAGATTATTTGTATTCAAGAAGTAGAAGTTGGGCAAAGGAAGTTTGGCAAAGAAGGGAGGCAAAGGAAGGTGAGCTGAATATCATTCCTTAGAGGCCACAAGTGTCCTCACACTCTCCTTAGCTGAGCAGAGAACACAACATATTCAAGTCGCCTAGCTGTTTAAACTCAAATACTTGTACAATGATGGTTGGCAATTCTTTACCCCAGAAGGAAGCAGCAAGTAACATTCACTGTTACTACATTCAGTATCCTCAGTTCTTCAAACAGTATTTGTTATGAGATGTGTCTTCTAGAATTATAAACTTTAACACCATTCAGCATTGAGGAGCGAGCATATTTTGTCAGAAGAGCACCAACGGTCTGTTTCTCTGCACACAAGTCTCTAAAGAGGAAATAAAGCACATGACATTGGCAGTAAGAAATACTCTCACACAAAATGAATCTGTAAAATATTTATAACTACAGCAATAAACTGGATTAGGATGTTAGGAAAAAAAAACCCAGAACTACTCCAGCTGTCTCATAATGCTTTAAATTACCTGAAGTTTAGAACTTACATTGACATTTATGCACTAGGCAAAACTACACGACTTACTTCAGAAAAAAGAATTTTGGGTTTTAGGTGGAGTTTTATTATTACTGTTCTCTAACAAAGTTTTCAATCTAACAAAACAGCTAGCTCTGAACTATTCAGTTATATTCCGATAAATTTAGAGCCACTCATAAAGGATTGATGCAGTTACTTCTGGGTTAGCACAACATCTGCTTACTTATATCACAGCTGGACATTCTAGATAGTGCAGTAGTGTAAGTCTTAACCACCAAAGGAACAAAAGATGTGGTACAGGAAGCACTATTGCTTTATAGTTCTAGTGTTGTAAATATAAAGACTCATTGTAAAGGTCAGGAAGTTTAGCCTTTGAATTTTCTGCTTTAATCAAATGAGAGTTATCACCCATTTAAACCCAGTAGGATCAGCTTTTTACACACATTTAAATCCAAAAAAGAGAGTTACAGATCCCAGAGGTGGGTATTCTATTCATATAGAATCCATTTAATTTAAAATGCAAAAGTATAGTAGTATCATTGAGGCAGTGATAGCTCATCAGAAGCCAGCTACGCAAAAAGGGAAGACTACAGTCCTAATTATGTTTTAATAAAAAGAAATACATCCTTACTGTATATAAGGGGTAATATCCACTTCCGTCCACTTTTCCCGTATGCCAAATAAACTGTTGAATCTTTCTTGGTTGTCCTCAGGTAAGTCTTCTACTTTCAGCAGAAAGATGGTCTCTGGTCTTGAACTTTTATCCACAAGAGCCAAGCCCTGTAGAACAGCATCAGAAAGGAAATGTTAAGTACTGACTAAACAATTAAACATCCTTCTGACTGTATTCCATGCAAGTTGCTCTTTGCAGACCCAAAGCCTTCCAGAACTGCACTACCAGAGGCGAAGTGTATAATAAAGATACTGTTTTACAGGCAGTACTTATAATTTCCTTTATAACAAGAAGGGAGAATCCATTGGGTTCCAATACCTCTCTGCTTTCTTTGAGCAAAAGGATTCCAGTAGTGTTTGCTATTCTACTGGCTGTCACTACCATCTGTTCAATGACAGTTTCAGCTTCTGTTCCAGTCACATTTAAAAGTAGTAAATTACAGCTGCTATCTTCCTTCAAACACTGAAACGTGCCTGAGTTACAGAAACCTGAATTATCATGATTCCAGACTACTGGTGCTCATAGAGGACATCATAAAGCATACTTGAACTCAAAAGCTGACAAAAACAACACAATACCCAATAATGGATAAAATCGATATATGACACAAGTAAGTTACAGCTTACTCACAAAAGAATCCACACTTCTTTATCTGTTTACCTGAAGCTGATCAAGCCTCGTTGTCATCCCCTCAGGGACACTCTGTTGCCAGACTTCTTCAAACTCTGATAGATTGAATTTAACTGCATTTTGCAAAAGCATTTGTGCTATGGCTCTGCATATTTTATCTTCATGCATTTCGAAGAATACCTCCCCTGCTGAGAAGCAAAAACTAGGTTATCTTCGGTTCTTGCCTTTTGATAAAAGAGCAGCCTTGTTCTAATCTTCAATACACCAAGTATCCTCTTTTTTCTTTTCCTTGAGAAGTAATTTGATTTGGTGTTAATTTGGATAAATTATGCTATCTTCTCATTCTCAGGAATAAATTATGCAGAATACAGCAGCACTGTCACAACTACAGTATGAATTTGTATCAATAGATGTGTTTTCCCTCCATGTTTTCCCCTTTCACAGTGAACCGTTTCTCCTACAGTTCTCATTCCTATTTCTGAACAGAAAACGAAACTTGCATTTTAATCACCCTTATGAGATTATGAAGGGCTAAGACTTCATTTTCTCACACATCGACTTGGCTAAAATTCTCTGAACCAAATCAGGTATAAACACATCCTTCTATTGTTTCAGTCACCTGTCTGTAATTCAGACTTGTTCCTTGTGCAAGCTACCTAAATATATTAAGACAAGAGTCTGTTGTGACTCCAAAGAACATTTCCTATGTCTTTTAAAGGTTGAGTGAAACTCCTACTTCAGCCAAAGGCGAGATGAAAGCCACTGGGGGGAAGAATTCAGACTGAATTAGGGCAGTGCATATTGTATCTGTGTGGGAGATGGACAATGGAAATCTAATCACTACAACCAGTGGATCTTGTGGTGCAGTTCAAGAGATCACAAGCAGATACCTACTTCAGACAAGCTGAATTAAAGCTATTGACTACTCATAATAGCACAGGTAATTACTGAAATATCTGAGATCTTCTAGGGTATCTAAACAGAGATGTCATCTAAATTTTACTAGCAAGCTCTCTTTAGTCATGGAATTATGGCTTGTAGACATCTAATAAATCACTTCTAGTACCTCTGCTCACAATTGTCTTGTACAGTTTAATAGCCTTTTTTTCCTGTGAAATTTCCTTTAACAATTGTACTGATTTTTAACCCAGTTTGCTCCTTCCTTATACTGGCACTGCAGCAAAGTAATTTGTTTGGCCCATTCTTCACAAAACCTACATTTCTTCATTAATAACTATTTATTCTATGCCAAGTTAAACCAGGTAAGCTTTCCCAAACTTACCATCATCAACATATTTCCTGCCATAGCTTAAAAGAATGTGTTCTATCATCTCTCTGGAAAAAAAAAAAAAAATCAGACATCAAGCTCTAATACTGTTTACTAGGACACTACTGAAACAGTAACCAATAAAATTAAGAAACAGGTATGGAGAAAAAAAAAATAGCTGAGAAGAATAGATGATGAGACACATTTTTATGGGTGAAATGAAAAAATTGGTAAAAAAATAGAAGAGAGAACAAAAGGGAACCAATAACATATGATTTAGCCTGTCAACCCCAAAGGTCTCTTTCACTCCACTTTCTAGTCATAACTAGCAAAGACTAAAATGACAAGCGAAATAAGGAATAGATTCTTGCAATATCACTTTTTTCCAACGAGAAAGAATTGTATCAGCAAAAGTGTGTCCAGCAGGACCAGGGCAAGGATTGTCCCTCTGTATTCAGCACTGGTGAGTCTGCACCTCAAGTCCTGTGTCCAGTTCTGGGCCCTTCACTACAAGAGGGACATTGAAGGCCTGGAGCACATCCAGAGAAGAGCAACAAAGCTGGGGAAGGGTCTGAAGCACAGGTCTGAGAGGAGCAGCTGAGGGAGCTGGAGGTGTTCAGCCTGGAGAAAAGGAGGCTCAGGGGAGACCTTATCCCTCTCTACAACTCCCTGAAAGGAGAGTATAGCCAGGTGGGGGTCAGTACTCTTCTCCCAGGCAACAAGTGACAGGATCAGAGGAAACGGCCTGATATATTTAGATTGGATATAAGAAAAATTTCTTTCATGGAAAACACTGTCAAGTACTGGAAGAGGCTGCCCAAGGATGTGCTGGAGAAACTATCCCTGGAGGTGTTTGGGCACATGGCTCAGTACTGGACTTGGCAGTGGTGGGTTTATGGTTGGACTCAATGATCCTAATGTTTTTTACCAGTCTGAATGATCCTATGATGAAAGTCAAAAATTTTGCAATTAATTATCCTTTACTGAATAATGGTCACTTTTCTGAACCTCTGTCATAAAATTATAGTCTAACTGTAAATATATTTTTGAGCCAAAAGGCAGTTAAATGGAAAATGCTACATATTGTAAGCTTAAGACTTTCTTTGAATAGTAATTTTGAATTACACCAGAAAACATACCCCCTTCTCAGCTAGTATGCAACAGGTAAACCAAATATTTTTGGCTAGCTATAGCTTCAGAACAGATATTTCAAGATAATCGGTAATTTACAACTTAAGCACGTGCTACTTCCATCATTTACAACTCAGCAGCAATGTTTCTGCTGTGGATCAATGGAAATACTACCAATAAACACTAAAATCAGTTTACCAACCTATCTAAAAATTCCCTTGAGTATTTTTAGAAACAAAGAAAATGTATCATTTATATAACGGTAACTAGAATCTAGATTTGTAAGACTATAATTCTAATAGACAGTTAACAAATATGGTAATTACTCATAGTTAATAATGATTGTAGGCAATTTTAAGTACTAAAAATAATTGTTTACCTGGGTTCTAGAGATCCAAGTTCTTCAAGGCAGGCACACAGAGGAACCTTACTCAAAGGCCAAGACTCTGAATCTATTAGCTGAGTCACATGATTCAAGAGTTTCATCTCATAGTCAAAGTCTAAAATTCTCCAATAGCCTGCCAAACAAAGCACCACAAAACACTGTTAGAAGGAAAACATTAACACCTTAATTCTATTGCCATTAAGATACATTACTGGAGTCTGGACATTCAGGTCACACCTGTGCAATGTGCAGCAGCATTGTGGTTTTTTCAGGATTAAAAGCTGAGAAAGGGAACTAAATAATAAGAGCAAATGTAAAGGAGAATGAAACTTAATTATCTCAATTGTTTGCAATTCTTTAGTAATTCTTCAACTGCCACAGATACAAAGACACTAAAAATATCACTCCAAGATCAATCAGATGTGGAAAAACTAACAGTTCAGGAACAGAACTGCATGAACGGGCTGGCTGCATTGGCCCTACAAAACAACAACTCAGGTCCAGAGAAGTTCACAAAAATTCCAAAATCCAGATGACTCTAGGACTGCCATCACCTTGTGTCCCAGTAAGGGTTTGGGCATAGCCAAGTAAAGGATGAATAGGACCTATCCCAACGTGAGGCACTTACTCAAGCCTTTCCTCACATGGTAGGAAGACACTGAGACAAACCAAATCTGGGAGAAGAAAGGACTATGAAAAGGATGGGGGTACCTAAGAATCAGCTGGTTTTGCCTCTAGAACTGCAGAAAGCAGTACCCACTCATTCATGAAGAGGGTGACCAGCTAAAAAATATTAATGCTGTGGGTGGGATACTCCGATGCCAGTGTTTGTGGCAGCAAAGAAGGAGTTATGCTGGAAAGAGACTCGCACTGCCTGCTCAGCTTTATCCTTCTGATCAGATTCATAGCAGCAGAGGACATGGATCTATGGAAACAAGTCTTAGAACTTTGAAGTAACTTGCATCTTGAAAGACAAGGATATGGAACAGACCTTAGAAAAAGGAAACATATATTTTGGGAAGAATATTTCCAGGATTATTTCCTCATAGGTAATAATATTCTTTAGATAGGAATACCTTCAATTTTGCAGGCATCTATAACTTGCAATTGGTGGAGTATTTCTTCTTCACTTGCTTGAATCAGACTTAACAAATCTTCTGTTGTATACTGCAACAAAGGAAAAAAAGGGAAATAAAAGAGGTTATTCTTATTCCTTCTTTGCTTCAGCAACCAGACTAAATGCATTATAAGCTATAATGAAGACTTCAGATAGATGCCTTTTCCCCTAAACTGAATTTTTCGAAGGCTTGCCACACTCTCTGGAACTTTTCTTGCAACTTAAAACATTTTCTAAAATGGTTATTCAATATAAAGGCAGTCTAACTACAGGAAAGACTTTGTACCAGGACCAAGTAATATACCTATATTCCCAGAAAGTCAAACTAGCACAAGCAGACCTTGTAAGTGAAGTATCTCAGCAAGAATAAAAAGCAAATGTGTTGTGGCTTTCCTGAAATCACATCTTTTAATATGTGAGATTCAAAGAAAAGGCAAAGCAAAAATCACTTATCACTTCTGGATACAAGTTGGAACCTGCACTTAGTATCCCACTGAGGGAAAGCCTCCTCCATCATGACCTCAACAGTTACATGTTGTGTTTTGGTGTCTGCTAATCAGCTGGCACACACAGAGCACAGACCCAGCCCGAACACAAGCACCTCCCTGCAGAACAGTTATGTGGTGAGATGGGAAGGTGCTATGGGATACTGTGGTGAAGATGTGAGTGGATCAGAAGTTATCATGAGGAGTGAAGTAAATGGAAGAAATACCACACTTCAGTGCACAGGAAATAGCACATCAATTCCTTTATTCACAGTAAGCCTTTTTAATCAACTCTAATATTAAAGTTTTGTTGATTATAGCACAAGATTATTTCCGATCAGAAAGAAAAACATTGAATTAAGTATTCGATTGAGATCTATCAGACTATGGGAACACTATACCACCACTAAGTTTGGAACATCCACATGTTAAAAAAACATTTAATAAATACAGAAAGGCCTCCACTTCCTGTTATGCTATTCCTATCAGAGTATGTTGAAATATCATCAGGCCAAGCTTCCATCAGTATGCCAATGAGGGATGACAGTACTTAAAAAAACTGCTAGCAATTGAGAGCAAAAATATCCCCAAATCAGTATGTGTGTTTGAAGTTCATTGCTGCCATTCAGATGCCCTGCACAGAAGTCCTTGGGCTATGTTTCTGCTTTGAGGCCAGCCCAGCAATCCCAGTAGCTTTTTTGAATACGTCACTGCTCTCAGTTCTGATGGTTTTATCAGCTGCATTGCCCTTGCAAACTTAAAATGGAGTGGGTTGACTTGTACCATGTCCACACCAGCAACTTCCAGATAATGTATTTAATATGTTTCTTATCCTTTTTCTTATCAGATGTCTATGATCATCTGAGTATGCCCTGTCATTTCACTGTAAAATTCAGTACTAGCCTACATATTGATAAGCTTTCCTCTAGTTTGCTAAATCACAAAACTATGCAACAGGTTCCCTACACTGCCACAGATCTTTATGGCTCTTTTGCTACAGTTCACTATGTATGATACAGCCCTGAAAATCATGAGACTCAGCTTACAGTAAACAACCAAAAAAGTAACTTGCTTTCAAACATATTAAAGGTGGCCTATAAATTCCCAGCACACCATAAATGTTAAGTGTAAGCAAACAAAACAGTGGAAATCATTACTACACATACATTGTTTGGGATTTCAGTGAAAGTTAGTCCCATAGGAAAGACTTTTTCCCTGGAGAGCTTTCAGATTCATTTAGGAGTTCCACCAGAGCCAAGGTTAAGACTTGTCTACATTTATCTGATATATCTAGTTGCTATCCAGTAAGCTCACAGAGGAAATGCATTCTCCTTCAAATACAAATGGTGATCAATTCTCAAACCAGTCATTAACATTTGAAAGACACTGACATCTTCTTAATAATACTCAATATTATGAATAAATATTATTTCATATGACTTTTTCATGTTGCTGGCCTTTGACAATGCTTATAATTTTCAGACAATTTAAGCTCTTTAACCTTTGCCATCCCTTGTTTTGCTGTGTGTCTCTCTATGCCTCGATCAGCACAGGTAGGCAATTCTGGGGGCAAGATGCTGTAACTAATCAGAAATCAGCCTGTTAATCATCCAAGAAGAGAGAGGCATCATGTCTCTCCAGAGAAAAGTAACATCTGTGTTTGCACATCCAAGCACATGCAGGTGGTTTGGTGATGCCAGCTTCAATCAAGCCTCAGCATAAAATACTTGGGAACAACTACTTTTTGGTTTTAAAGTCAAAAGTAAAACCAACCAAACTAACAAAATCCCAGAATTTTATCAGCCTTTTAGCTGAGATCATATGCTGCACAGTCCAGGTCTCCCCATTACTCTTTAGGTCCCAAATTAAATTTCTTGGAAACACCATAAGACAGCAGGATAGGACTTCATTTGTATTTTCCCTTCTTTCAGTGTGTCTTATTCCATGCCTTATATAATCCCTGTTACTCTCTTCAACTTCCTTCTTCTCTTTGTCATCACCAATTACTGACTGGCAAGCAACTGGACATGGGTGTGCTCTGACTTCATACATGGCAGACACAAAGAAGAAAAGGCTGCATACCTTAGTAATCATGTAAGTCTCAAGGAATCTAGAAAAAATTCTGCTTCAAGAAACTTCCCATAGGAAAAGGGAAATGCCCAGCCTCCTTCCATGTCCTTCATTTTCCTCTTTTAACTAATAAACAGATTGCTTACCTTTACTCACTGGAAGTGCTAACAACAATCAACTTGTTTAGAATGGAAGGGTTAAAAAACTAACTCAAAGAAGCACTGTGAATCATATGAGAAAAGGGATTTTTCTACTTAAGGATGCATCTTCACTTTAATTTGCTCGTTACCAATTACAAGAAAGCAATTTACGCAGCTGATTTACCTTTGAAAATGTTGAAGTCTGCTCTTTCTGACTATCAGGTCCTTCATATGGATCTTCCATTAAAAGCTTCCTCAGTTTCTTCAGTTTTGGTCGACATCTCCTTAATTCCCAATAGTTCTTGGAGAAACCAGCAATCTACAAGAGAAAATCGTAACTCTTTAAACATTTTAATGTAGCATCTGGACTCAAAGCTGCTTACCAAAATTATCAGCAAGCACTGTTAACCCACTCACTGAAAACAAGTTAACTATTAATAGGGTAATTACTTTAGAGATAAAACAATCATTGCAATGTTTTCAATTTAAAAAATTTACTACAGACAGTGAAGAATAAAAATCCACTGTTGATTGATAAAAAATATGTTTGTAGTGCATCAGACAAAGGTAACAACTCAACTCTGCATGCAAATGATAGGAAATCACCACAGGATACATTTCTGCACAATTGCCCTCAAAACTGCTTTTTGTTCTAAAAATAAATTGTATTACTGTCATAAAAGCCTTCCTGTATTAACCTGTGTCTATCTTCCCCACTTCTTCCCATGCTTGAGATCTACTTCATGGTCTTTTTAATGAATCATTGTAGTCCTAAGCTCAAGCAAAGCAGACATCAACAAGGACACAAAGCTACACTTTGCACACAACTGACAAGACATCTCTGTTCCTTGCCCTGAGTCAACACACAAATGAAGAGTGTGCAACAGGAAATTCGGCTGCTCTTGATTCAACAACATCAACTTACCAAAGTTTCACTTTCAGAGTAATCCTCAGGTGTTTCACAGGGTACAGCTTTGACTTCCTTTGAAAAGGCCAGACTATTGGAGGCCCTTCAGCATCACTGCTACTATTTACCAAACTGACAGAAATAGGAACAGAATCACAGAGGCAGAACAGGCTCCAGCTCAGTGACTCCTGACCCAATCACTAGTCCCATGTTAAAACATCTTCCATGAAAAAGCCTCTAGACAGTGCTTTAAAATAGACAGTGCTTAAAATACCCTAAGTGCTTTACTTAGGGGTACTTAGGAGTACTTGGGATATTTTAGAAGGCCTCACTTAAAAAACAACTAAACTAAAACTTCGAAATAATATTCCATTTAAATCAACTATAAGAAAAACGACCTATATATAAAAGAAATTGTATACAAATTATAATACACAGAAATCTTTCAGTTTTCATCTATTACATAACTGGATTAGCAAAAAATTCAGCTAAAAATTCAGCTAAACATCAATTTCCTGACAAACTGCCAAGCTTCATGTCAATTAGCATTTACTTAAGTGCTAGGCTTTTTTCCTGCCAAGTTGTTTTCTGATCATTTGGTAATAAGAAGATACTCTCCATAGAAAAGAAAATAAACAATTCTAATTAATATTCCAAAACTCATAACAGGAGATAAGCTGTGTGAGGTGAATAAAATGGCAGATGCTTTGGCTGTATCAGCTGTGCAAGTGATACAAAGATCAGCACCAAGACTTCAAGTGAAGGGCAGTAAAGCCCCAAAGTGCTGACTACACACAATATCTTTTGCTATGTTTCACAATTTGCAGTGTTAATAAACCATCTTACATTTTTGATCTTATTTTGAGAACTCTTAGAAATAAAGCTTTTTAAATAGTTCCTAAGCAAATCACATTTCTATGATGTGTAACTTCACAGGAATAGCAGAATTATTAAAAGTAGCAAAAAAAAAGTATGTGGAAGAATATTACTTTCTCATTAATCTACTTCAGCTTGAATTAACTTTTTATATTAGCTCATTAGACCTCATGGAAGAAGTGATGTTGAAGTAGGATTATTCCTCAATAATGCCATTATGTTCATTACAGCAAATAATTAACTAATAATATTTGCCTAGCTATTTTAAATATAATTTTATTAACTATGCTTCAGGAGGGCAGAGAACAATGAATTCTTAAACAGAACTCTAAAATCATTCACTTTGAAAAAATGTTTTGATACACTAATTGAAAGAGCCACTTTTGAATATATCTCTGTATTTAAAAAATAGTATTCAGATGATAAAATCTCCCTTTTATGGAAAGTACTCCTAAAAATCAACCTGTAAATAGCTTACTTTAAAAATAGTTGCTAACACTGAGAAATTATACTTTCCAAGCTTTTAATACCTACCATAAGTAATTGCTATGTAATGAAAATAAACCACAGTTTTAACTTCTTTGAAACAGTAATAATCATACATTACAGAGAAAGTTCAGCTGCCTGAAGAAAGGCTCTAAATCCATTTTGGACACCCTGAGGCATAGCATGGCCCTATATAAAAAGTACATTTATAAAGACATCCTCCTGGAACTGGTCAATACACAAAGAAGCTATAGGAGACTTGTCCTGTCTCCAGTGGCAGCCTGCAATGGTGGCTAAGCAATACCACAAGGCATCTAAAATGGCATTAGAAGTCTATGTTTAGGCAACTGAATCCCAGCTGGGTTTCACATATGCATCTTGGACAAAATACAAGAAATTACAGAGAATAAGAAAGCAGAGAATTAAAGCAAACAAAAAAGCCCTGAAAGACATACCTGTGAGTGAATGATATTACAAGATGCCTGATCTGCATTCAGCTCCTCTGGAGTTTTACAACCAGGAACAAACAGCAGCATATTTGAAGTATCTGCTATTTTCATTTCATAAGTTTTATCTTTGCTGCACAACACTGCATGTTCATCCTTTTCACCACGGATTACTAGGCTGGGAAAAAAAAAAAAACAGCATGGTTACCTCTGTTTCAGGATGAACACTTATTAAACTTGTCTGATATTTTTTCACATTCCTACATTTGTAAAGAAATTACAAACTGCAGTTCTGTTTGTTAGCAGCAGTCACAGTTCACCAAAATATAAAGATGCAAATGTAAGTTAATCTAATTGACTATGTTTATCCCTCTTGTTTTAGTGTGGGAAAACTCAAAAGATAAGCATTCCAAGTTTTCATGCAGAACACAGTTGAATGCCTATATTCATACACCAATTCGCTCAACCCCCCAAAAACATGAAGTGATGCTTAATGTGTGAACTAGTTCACTAATCCTAGAAATTAGATTACAACTAGAGTTGTTCTTTAATGAGAACTGATGCTGGCCCACTGTGAAACAAGGAAGCAAAGAGAATTTGCATTTATTGTGCAGAGCCCTTCAGATAATTAATATCTATTTTCTTACAAGTAATTCCAAGCAGGAAAGAAAATAATCTTCTAGAACAATTCTGAATGAAGAGACAATGTAAACCACCCTTTTCAGCTCACACACCTGATGAAGTAAAGATTCTGCATGAGGATGTGGTAATAGCAAAGCCCCCATGACAGGGGAACATTCAGTTCCTCCCAGGCTACATACACTAACCCAAGTGCTCATATTCAATTCAATTCAACTGCTCCTCGTTTCCCAAAGCCTGCATGCATGAACAAAGCTCAGCTGTGCCCCAAGGGATCAACTTGATTCAGGCCTCTAACTGCAAATACTTCATCAGTATTGTACTAAATAGGAATGGGCTTACTAACATACATCTCAGAGAACTACCTTCTTTAGAGGGACTTCTCATTTTGTATCACTTTAACGATTTTCTGTATGTCACTGGCATTGCAGTAAAGGAAGAAATTTACAACAGTATCAAAACCTTATCTAGGACCTGTTCTTGGTTCAGAGTTTGGCATCACATAACCATCCCATCCTAGGGCCATGCTAATACTGCCCATCCTTCCCTGCATTTGTCCATCTTGTAGGCAATCCATCAGGCCTCAAGAGTTCCAATTGGAAAATCTCAAGGTCAGCAAGATTCTCTTAAAGACATAATCTCTTTTCTAAACCTGTATTTCTGATCATAGAATCACAGAATATCCCGAGTTGGATGTGATCCACAAGGATCATTGTGTCCCGCTCCCGGCCCAGGACTGCCCAAAGAATCACAGCACGTGCCCGACAGCGCTGGGCAATTGCTCCTTGAACTCGGCAGGCTTGGTAAAGGCACTTTTTGGGGAACCTATTCCAGCTTCTTCTGAGTTTTGTTTAGAAGTCTCCACAGCAGGAAGCTTTCCATTAAAAAAATAAAAACAAAACCAAAAAAAAACAAAACACACACACGCTCACAAAACCTGCAAAAAACAAACCAAAGACGCTTCTCATAAGTGTAAGTAGTTTTTAGCTTCCCGCGTAAGTGAGATTCCAGGGATCTAAGGCGCACCACACCAGGACACAGGGCGGCCCCGCCCCCGCGCGCGGTACCTGCGCCCCGCCTCCAGCTCCGCGCAGAGCGCCGGCTCCAGCTGCAGCAGGCAGCACTCGCCGCCGCCGGCCTGCGCGCCGAAGCTGAGGCAGTGCACGGCCGGCAGCAGCTCCGCCGGGTTCAGCTTGGCCGTCTGCAGCGTGGCGTCCACCTCGGCGCGGCTCCGCACGGCGGCCCCGGCGCGCTCCGGCCGCCGCGCCACCGCCTCCATCGCGGGCGGGCGGCGCCAGCGGAGCGCCTGCGTTGGTTCCGCGGTTGGCGGAAGGACGGGCGGGTGGATCGGCGGCGGGGCGGGCGGGAACGCCTGGGGGTGGGATCGAGGGGAATCGCTTCCGTCTGCTCCTCCGCCGGGCCTAGTTAGGGACAATCCTCCTGATTTCTGTCTGGCTGCACAGGAGCCGGGCCGTGCTGCAGTAAGAGCTCTCGTTATGCCAAGAATGCAATAAAAATATACAAAATACGCAAAAGTAAATACAATTGTAAAACATTGCAAAAACATGTCCAATATGGAAGTCACTGCCCAGCTCTGTTTAGAATGGAAAAGACTTCCAAGATCATAAAATCCAACCCTTTATCCAGCACTGCAAATCCAGCACTAAGCCATGTCCCTGAGTGCCACATCTACATGTCTTTTAAACACTTCCAGGGAATGGTGGCTCCACCACTTCCCTAGACAAGCCAGTTCCAGTGCCTGACCACCTTTTCTATGAAGACATTTTTCCCACTATATAATCTGAACCTCTGCTGGTGCAACCTGAGCCCATTTCCTCTCATCGTGTTAGTTTTTAGCTGGGAGAATTCCTGCCTGGCTACAGCATCCTTTCAGGGACTGGTGGTGAGCGATAAGGTCTCGACTGAACCTCCTTTTTTCAAGCTAAATAGTCCCAGCTCTTTCAGCTGTTCCTCACCTGAGCTGTGCTCCAGACCCTTTTCCAGCTCCATTGCCCTTCTCTGGACGCACTCCAGCTCCTCAATGTCTTTCTTTTAGTGAGGGGCCCAGAACTGGACACAGCACTCGAGGTGTGACCTCACCAGTGCTGAGTACAGGGGGACAATCCCTGCCCTGGTTCTGCTGGCCAGTTTCTGATCCAGGCCAGGATGCCATTTGCCTTCTTGGCTACCTGGGCACAAATGTTCATGTTCAGTCACTGTTGACCAGCACCTCTTTTCTACCTGACAGCTTTCCAGCCACACTGTCCCAAGCCTGGAGCATTGCTGTGCCACTCTCAAAGTTTTTCCTCGACTCCAGAGCATGACAGCAAGTGTGGAGAGAGAGAATTTGAGTGTCCAAGCTACCACAGTGGGGCCTGACAATGGGTGGGAAAGCACTGCTGAGGCAGCTGCTGAGCACTGGTGTCACTCACCCCAGGTCCTTCTGTTCTTCTGGGGACAGTCTGACCAAGGGCAGCGACTTGCAGGTTCTTATCCATGCATTGATCCCTTAGGAAAGGGCTTGCACAGCCACACAGAGGTTCATCTCCCTGTACCTCAGGGCTCAGCTCAGGTTCTTGCTGTGGCTACGTCTGCCAGAGTAAGCTGTGAGGAAGTGCTTGAGCTAAAGCCATGACACAAATGAGTGGAAACTACAGGCATGGGTAATTATTGCAATGGAAATAGTCTGCAGCTCAGAGATTCAAGGGGAAGTCTACTGGTGTCCTTAAACCATAAGAAGAAAACAGAAGCAGAGGCTCAGAACACAGCAGGTAAGCAGAAGTGGGAGCCAGACTTCTGCAAGGAGCAGCACAGGATGCCTCTTCCCTGCCTTGTCCAGGACAACTGGAGCCTCGGACACTCACTGATTTTTGCTGCAGATCATATATAACACTCGGCCTGGTAGTGTGCTAGCCCTAGCTGTCTGCTGTGTGTATCAGGTAACAAATAGTCACTCAGTGGTCCTGAGTTATATCTGTCCACTTGCAGAATATCTCTGTGCTTGGTAAAAGTCTGTATCAAATGACCCAGAGGAGGAGGTCATAACCCCTATTGTGTGGGAACCGAAAGCAGGAGCTGATGGGATGGAGCTGGCCTGGTTCAGTCCCAGCCTGGCAGAGACCAGGTGTTGTATGTGACTGAGTCAGGCATCTTCTGTCCTCAGAAGGTGGTGTCTGACTGGCGCCAGTGGGGCAATTGGCCTTGTAGAAAACTTTGCTGAAGTTACTAGGCAGTTACCTCTGTCACAAAACACATGCAGTGGCTTGTTCAAAGACTCAGACATAAGTCATGTTTTCATGTTTTATTTCAGTTATTGGAAAGTGGAAATACCGTCATTGTGCACACAGGAAACCAGAGGCACTCCAACTTTGGCTAGTTTCTACTAATACGTAAGTGCAAACTGAAATGTGTATAGCCTTATTGGAGACTTACATTTTGCTTTAATGTAAATTTATTCATGCACACCTCTCAGGTAAACCAGAAAATCACTTTTTACCAAGTAAATGTTGAAGTAGTTATTAAGCTTATTTGTGCTGGCTTTAATTTATACCTTAATTTGTGCAATTTTCCCATGACCTTGTACACCTTCATCTTTCTACTTTTCATTCTGTGAAATAACAAAAAAAAAAGTTTTGGTATAGCCAAGAGATTGAATCCAAGTCATGGGTTCATGGAGTTTGTACCTTAAGAGATCTGCTATGCAACAGAAGCTCAATAATAATTAATTCACTGGATGTTATGCAGGAGTTGGCATTGATCTGTAGTCAGGAACATTTGTAGTAATTATTAATTTTTCTAATCAGTTTTGCTTATCCCGGTAGTTCTGGTTGAAGATGCTTTTTAAATATTATATATATAAATTTCAGAACTGACATGTATGTGCTTATGCTGTCTGCCATATTTCTCTGCCTGTCCCTCATTTATTCCTGGAAGTTGTTCAAGATCAAGCAAATTTGGCATATAAATTTCCTGGAATTTTGGTAAAAATCAGTGTGTGGATGATATATTGAAGCCCCTACTTGGGGGAATGCTGCTCTGATCCATTCTAAGAGGCAGAAGCCAACTGACCTATCACCAAACACATGGACATAAATCTATAGAGATGTCTCATTTCTCAGGAAACAACTGGTATTATGTATCTGTTTTTACTGAAGTTGCTTTAGAGCAGTGACCTGACAAAACCAGGTTTGTCTAGGAACTCATGAAGTTAGTTTCTTGAAACATGGATGAATCATTTAATGAATTTTAATTGCAGAGGAAATGAGATTATGAACTATCAATGTTGCTGTCAATTTATAAGGAAATGCATACTATGGCAAGAGACCTTTGTAGGATCCTGAAATTATTTTATATTGATGCTGTGAGGTTATTTATTTGCTTTGGAGTTGCTATAGCATAAATTAGTTTGGTTTTCAGCTTGAGCTGGTCTGGTGGACTGAAACTGTCAGAGGTGAGGAGCATGTAACACCATGGTACATGCAGGGATGAAACTCGCCTGTCAGGAGCATGTAACATCATGGTACAAGCAGGGGTGAAACTCACCTGTAGAAGGATGGAAGCAAGAGTTAGGAAGCAGTAATTTCAACCATCCTGATGTATCACCAACTGCTGTCAGTCCACCCAGGTGCCCATTGGAGGCTTTAAGTGGCTGCTGTGTGTGCAGCTGTGAGTGTGAGGTATAAGGTGTACACCTGTCAGCATAAGGGAGCACGTAGACTGAACTGCCAAATAGCCTCAGCTGGGCTGGGGACAGGGCAGGAACCCGGTCAAGCCTCAGGCAGGATAAGCTTTGACACGGTTTTTCAATTGACAAATTGAAAATATGTAAATAGAAATTAGTGTTAATGGGATGTGGTTGGCAGTCATTGAGTGAAGTTAGCAAACAAAAAAAGGATTGTTGAAGATTTTTATGGTCTTGCCTTTGAATACCTGGGCCCTGTTTAATCTTTCCCAGAACTCAAACATCAGGGATGTGAACCGTTAAATTAATGAAGGGCATCTGTGACAAATAAATAAATAGCTCCAAAGCTCCACAACTGAAACATAGAATGATGAACTGGAAAATAGGAGTGCATGGTGCTGCTGCACTACTGCTCTAGTCATTAGGTAGCGTGTTCGGATGATGACTTCCCACTGTGATTGCCATTCAAGTGCTTGGGAGCTCTACAGTAAAATGTAGTGAGAAAAATAGAGCTACATGAAATGGGGTGTTCAAATGACAAAGATGTACACACTAGAAATTTATAGATGTCCTTCAAAGTACAACAGAGGTAGCTGAGAAAATAAAAAAAAAAGATAAAGCAAGAACTGGAAAAACTGACACAGTGCCAAAGTTGACTATAGCAACACATTATCAGCTCAGTGATAATTACACAATTCACAGTTACAATTCTTGGAAATTATTCCACAAGAGAGGCTCATTTTGATTAAAACCTCATAAACCCTAATTAAAGGGTTTTTCAACATCTTTTTTCAACTGGAATGCCATCTGCAATATGTAAAATTAGCATGTGTGTTACATTTTCACTCATTAAATGACAATTTATCATTGTCTAGAAATACCTGCCATAGGATGGGCTCATTATGTTTCAGTACAGAAGGTGACCACCTAAGCTGTAGGTGTGACTGGGGTGAGAGCTCTGAATCTCTTTCAACACATGGCAGACTCCTGTGAGACACTGGTATACCGTCTACTTTGCCTGTGTTACATTTCCTTCCTAGGAAAACAAGAAAGAGAAAAGACCAAACAGAAAATATCATAC